TATTGTTGTTTGCAATCATAACTTTTTCGATTGAAAATGTGTATTACCTGATAGTTTTAAGGCCCTTGTGCAATACAGTACCTGCTTTACATGTTTTTTTTTAATCAAACTTAAATGCATTTTACACTGTATACATGTAGCAGTGAATGTTCGAATTATAACATATAATTCCGTGAAATGGAAACAGCTTGCAGGAATAAGAACAGGATAAGAAACAATATGATTCACCAGTCTTTATTTCGAACCGTACTCCACGTACTATGTACATGTCGATCTATCGTGGTCGATTATTACATTAAAACGTAATCTAACACCGTAGAAATATCATCTATATCGGTACTAACATGGATTTTGTTAAAAAAAATATGTATTGCTATACAGTTATAAACACTTATTTTGTTTGTATATTTTAAGTTTCGTACTGATCTGATGAGTCAAGTAATTTCCAAATTTACTTCGTTCTCGGTCAATTTAATCTGAACAGGTCCTTATATATCGCATTGACCTCGTCGAACAATCCACAATTCATAAGTAAATTAGATACCAAATATCTTATAAAGTATCATAAGATTACATCTTTTTCCGTACATTTTTTTAATGAAAATAATTGTTTTCTGATTAAGTGAACTGATAAATCATATTAGATGTTTGATATTATTTAACTGTATATTTATATTTGTAAAGCACCTTAAAATTAATGACTGCTCAGTTGAATCTAAAATTGAATCTAAGAATCATACTAAAATATAGGTTATATTCTTTTAAATTGAGTTGTACTCGTTCACTTCAATGCGGAGAAACCGCGGAATGAATTGATCATATTTCCATCAATTATTATCTTTATTAAGTATTGTTACACCACTGTCCAAGGTAAGGAAGCAATTAGCTCTCATAAACATGCTGAAACCTTTTACATTCTTTATGTGCCTGTCCAAAAACCAGTTTGTAATCTAGTGTCCTGGTTGTCATATTTGTTTTATAGCTTAATAAACAGTAGTGAAGGTGTTCACTTCAGATTCTTGTTCTTTCGTTTTTGGTGGATGATTGTCAAAGTCCTTATTATTATACTTGTAACCTTGATTTATGTTTTCAAACGTTAGTGTAATTCCTTCGGTTGCGAGATTTGCAAAACCAATCATATCAAAGGCCCTACAATAGGAATAATCGACTGAATGATAAGTGCACGGAAAGTTTTATGAATAACCAATGGTATCCCAATTGTATAGCAGGAGAAAGTTCACAATCGGTTTATGTCACAGTTCAACATGTTTTAATTGGGGTTCCTTTAAAACAAAGCAAACAGTGTTTCAGCGTATCGTTAAACATGTAAACACATAAAACATACACCGTGTGTATACTCTGATGCCAGTTTTAGAGGTGTAATTCATAAACATTTAAAAAGGGACGGGGAGTACTTTAGCTATCGCTTTATGCATATTCGTTATTTTAAACTATATAATGCAGTTTATCCATTTTGATATGTGTAGCCTGTTTTTTGCATTGTCAACTGTCACACATGTCTTGTAATTTGTCCGTAGGGAGGTCCAAAGATTCGGCATAACTTGTATAATTTATTCTAGGCTCTAATACCTGGCGTGTATCCCTTTGAACTAAACAAACATGGCTTAAACTGGCTTATTTCCCGTCAATCAGCAAAACATATCAACTGAGAATAATTCAAATGTAAGATATGTTTTTTTGTCTATTAGAAATGCATTATACGCATGTCTAGAATGTAGGACAAAGATTAAACATCGGATTAGCTATGTTTATTGTTTGGATTTCTATCGCCTGTAATTTTCGAGAGTGATGTCCTCATTTTTATATATTTAAGATGTTCGTTTGACAATTTCTCTAGTAGGTCACTTTTAGTAGTTAATGGATTCATTAAGACTACATAATTTTAATTGTTTAAAGATATACATGATATAACCCTGTATGAGTAGTTTTGATTCAAAGATACCTTTACTTGTGTGAAACTATGTGGGACTTTTTAGTGGACTTAAACGAAATACACATTTAACACATTGTAGTACTGGAAAAGCAAATACACATTAAATAACAGTTGATAGTGAGGGTTGGGAATGGCACCAAACATTTATGGGGTGCAATAGAAAAATCGTGTCATGGACATTACGAATAAATATATTAGTTAGGGGTGCAAATTTAAACAGTTTTATAGATTTTTAGCGATAGAGGCATTACCATAGGAACAGAACCTGGAAAGGTCTTTTAACATGGCAGTTCAGAATGTATTTTATTTTTATTTATAATTTTATATAGGGGTTGTGCATGACGCTTATGTAAGACAAATATGGTATTATGTACATGTCCTGCAATGACAGTTAAGAATACATATGGTTAAAGGGTCGACATATCAACAGTTTTTAAAAATATTTCACGATTAAATATATAAACGGAGCGAAGCATTTCAGCCTCGAACAAACTCTATGGTTAACTATAACAAGTAGAACGGTCTGATAAAATCAATGAAGGTAAAAGAATGAAGAAATCTAACAATATATTACACAAAACTGCTTAGAGAGTTTAAAATCTGATTTCTGTTTAACGATGCGCAACACGTCGTCTTGAAATTTTGCACCCATGTGCCGAATGGTTACTGAAATTTACAAGTCTTTACTAAAGTAAGGAATACACAGACAAGATAGTCTTTATGGATAAGTGAAAGAAAATAACATTGCCTTCCAATACTTTAGTAAAGACACGTAAGTTTCAGTTACCACTAACATACCAGTACGTCATTCAACCTCAGAACATGAAGAAAGACAGACACAAAACCGTGCCCAGAAGAACCAGTACATCAGTACAAAGAACTGGCATGCATTGAATTAACATGGCAGTTCAGAATGTATTTTATTTTTATTTATAATTTTATATAGGGGTTGTGCATGACGCTTATGTAAGACAAATATGGTATTATGTACATTATGTCTTTACTAAAGTATTGGAAGGTAATGTTATTTTCTTTCACTTATCCATAAAGACTATCTTGTCTGTGTATTCCTTACTTTAGTAAAGACTTGTAAATTTCAGTAACCATTCGGCACATGGGTGCAAAATTTCAAGACGACGTGTTGCGCATCGTTAAACAGAAATCAGATTTTAAACTCTCTAAGCAATTTTGTACATAATACCATATTTGTCTTACGTTTTGTCAGTAAATCTAACAGTTCATAGATCTTAAATCGATGCAAATTTCAGACACACCCTCAGCAATTTTTTCAAATTTCGTATTGTTTCAGTCTAGTATGAATTCGAATTACAACACTGTTTAAGTCTATTTATTAAGTAAAAAGACCTTTTGATTTTGTTCTAGGTATTTTTTCCGTCACTTTTTTATGTTGAGATTTTTGTTTGTTTCGCAAGATATAGAAAAGATGTTTAGCACATGATCTCGAACAGTGAATACACGTAAGCATTTGACCCTATGTAATCGTACAATATTTCCTCTGAGAGTTATATCCCCGCACTCTGGTTTCCTTGCTATGGCTACTCCTTCACAACCGTAAAAAAATCGATATATATATATATTTTTCAAATTGCTCGTTATATCCTCAGGTTGTTCTGTTCAATTTTAACCGAAGCGATACGAAGACTCCATATGAGAGTTATTTTTCCTTCTGTATTTGACATACGTGATATATAAATGTAGCTCATGAACTGTTAGTTATAGAGACCCATGTTATTTTCATTTGAAGTCATTGGTCCACCAAAAGAAATGCTCAGGTCAAAGTCATGATTTAAATTTTGACTTTTGATTGTTTTCGCGTATCCTCAGAAACCGTAATAAATAATGACAAAATAATTTAACAAATTGTTTCTTGTGCTATGTCCTAATTAACCAATTTTGGTCGAAACGTTACCGTGCCTTGTATTAGGAGTTTTCTCCCCAGGAAAATTAAAAAAACAAAAATTGAATGGAGACATAACTCATTAACCATACATAGTAAAGACCTAGGGTACATTGATTTGAGATCCTTCCTGTATCGCTTTGAAATCGAGGTCATGATCAAATGAAAATTGGACGTTCCAGATTTTAACCTTTACTATAACTTCATACTGGCACATGATAAAGTCATAGGGTCTTTTGGATACCTGTGACCTTGAAAAACTGGAAGCGGCCATTTTTTGCACTTCTGTTATAGACATGTATTTAGAAAACATATATTATTTTAATCTGCATGCATAAACCTTTCATTTCAGACTGAAAGTGACCTTCTGCAAACAGGAAATATCACACTAATTTCAGGCAAAAGTATATAGAAGTATACAAATAAGAAGAAGTGGTATCATTGCCAATGCTACAACTCTCCACCAGACCAAATGACATAGAAGTTAACAACTATAGATCACCGTACGGCTTACAAAAACGAGCAAAACCTGTACCGCATAGTCAGCTATAAAAGGCCCCGAGATGAAACCATATATTTTTGGAATCAGTGTATATAGAGCTATCATATGAGACTGGAATTGGCATTTTTTTTAGCAGGAAGTAGCAAATTATCACTCTCATTTCAAGGAAAGATATATTGAAACAATATATTTTTTTGAATTAGTGTGAATAAAAGCCAGCATATGACACCGGAGGTGACATTTTCTTAACAGGAAGTAGCACATTATTTCCATTATTTCAGGCAAAAGGACATAGCTGCCATATATTTTTGGAATCAGTATGAAGAAACCGATGATTTGACGACAGTAGTAAATTTTAGTAAACCGGAAATGACTTCGTATCCATGATCTAGAAGTTTCATGGTGGACAGACCTGGTTTTTAATTATATTTACACCTTGTTGAAGTCTGTACTATTTAGATCTCGTCAAATTCAATAGACGTCGCGTCTCTATTACGAGAGACGTATGTAGACGTCTAAATGTTTTATTTTACGTTAAGTTTGTTTGCATATTTAAGTTTTCCTTGTTTCTACTTTACTTTACTTTCAGTTGCTTTTGAAAAACTGACATTAATAAATAACAGATAGACGTTGCTTAATTTTTTAATTCATTTTAATGCATTTGGAGGAGTATGACGACATCAGTGTTTCTATCAGTTGTCTTCCTGTGGATCATTTACGTAACGCTCATCGATATCATCCATAACATCCTCATCATTCATATCGACATATCGTGTATCTAAATGTCTGTCTTCTGAGTCCACATTCTCGATGTCTTCATCTGAAATACAATTTTTAACAATAAGACAAAAAATTTCAAAACACAAAACAACAAATAGAAAAAACTTTCATACTGGAAAATACATGGATATGTTTGTGTACTGATCCCACAATTGTTTTTAATGAAAATCATATAAGTTCACCCTTAAATAAAAAATACCTTTAACTTCGAATCAAATTAGTATCAAACAAAAATCACAACGGACATCAAGATTCGTGAGAATCTTTTTAAAATTGACACTTATGTGTCATGGTAATTTCTTTCTACAGATGTTGGGTAGACATATTATGTTTCTACCAAAAATCATCAAGGTTTGATGTAAAAATTACTTTATTTTGTAAAATTAGTAATAGTCAAAAACTCAGCAGAGTTTATGTATAAATTGTTTGTTCCTATTTTGTTAATTATATGAAATGGATAAAATTCACTTTTAAATATCAAAACATTTATGGACCGCTTTAATATGTTATCAAATATGGAAGAAATACAATTTCATTACAAACAATCCCGTATCATATAGTTTTCATTTGAATTAATTAGATCCCATCTTTACTGACATACGTAAGATTGTATTAAAATAAACGTACCTTGAATATCATCGTTCAAAGTCGCTCTTTTGCTCTCTGTATTGAGTGTGGCATAGTTTGGACGTCCCTGTATTGTTAGTCCTCGTCGCCAATATCGTCTCCACCGCCACCTATGTCCGTCACATTTATCAATCATACAAAGTGCAACTAAAATAGTCAGTAACAGCAAAAGAATCCCTTTCATTTTCTGCCTGAAAGATATTCTTTATTGGTCAGATGAAATTAATCATCAAATTAATTCCGACAGGTAAACACTTATATTTGAATTTATGAAATTAGGTCGATGCTACTTTTGGATAGCTTCCCATATATTTATCGGACATATTATAGCTAAAGTAGAAATGAAAGAGTTATTTTTTTTTTGATAATTCAATTACAAAGAAAAAAAATGACGAAAATATATCTAAAGCGAGATGTTCACTAGACTATGCTTTGTCATAGATCAGTATTTATATTCCATATTTTTTATTTTGTCTTGCATGTTAATTAAAGCAGTTTTGAATATATTTCAATTGAATAACAGAATTTGATTGGCCATAATCAGAAACAATAATGGTAGGTACTTTTCTTCATCCAATATGTCCTTTGCTTTACCGTTATGTCAACGAGATGCAAGGACTTATCTGACGAACGCAATTAACAAAAAAACAAAATAAAACGATATTTAGGAAATGTACACTAATGCATTCAATCACAAAACGTAAATACAATCTCACCTTTGTAGCTATATCCGTATATGTATGTTGAAGGTTTATCCAGCATAAAGTAATCACGGCACTTCATCTATTAATTATATAATACATAATATTATATAATAATGTATAATCAAAGTAGCAGATGTAAGCAAATATCGTAGCAGTTGTGACAAAAAATCGATAAAATCATTTTTTCCAGGAACCAAGCCAGTTTCTAACAAATTTATTGTCACTATTAGACATTTCCAAAAACTAATCCATACTGACACCTTACACCTATGTATAGGACTACATGTTACCTTTTTAATAAAGGACTATCTGAAGTATACAAAGATCACATATAGTTATATTGGTCGTATACAATATTGGTTTATTAGATGTTTTATATATATGATATGTTAAACATTTATTTATTTAAATGATGTGTCGATGCCACTGCTTGTGAAGTTTTTCTCCCCGAGGGTATCACCAGCCCAGTAGTCAGCACTTCTGTGTTGACATGAATTATCATTTATATGGTCATAATTATAAATTAACTGTTAACAAAACTTTGAATTTTTAGAAAATCTAAGGATTTTCTACCCCAGGAATAGATTATCTTAGCCGTATTTTGCAAAACTTTTAGGAATGTTGGGTCCTCAATGCTCTTCAACTTCGTACTTTATTTGGCCTTTTTCAAATTTTTTGATTCGAGTGTCACTGATGAGTCTTTTGTAGACGAAACGCGTGTCTGGCGTACAAATTTGCAATCGTGGTATCTAAGATGAGTTAATTACAACCACTAGGTCGATGCCACGGCTGATGGAATTTTTCTCCTCGAGGGTATCACCAGTCCAGTGGTCAGCACTTCTGTGTTGACATGAATTATCATTGATATGGTCATAATCATAAATTAACTGTTAACACAACTTTGAATTTTTAGTAAATTGCAATCCTGGTATCTACGATGAGTTTATTTCATTTTCAGTAAAAAAGAATTGCCCTATGTTCAAAATGTTCTTTGTGAAAATGTACAAAAAAAGTTAAATTTAAGTAATAAAACAACAACAAGGAAGTGTAGACATTTGATGTTCTGAAATACATCTAAGTATACATTATAAAAATACTTTTATTAAGTAGAACAACTGAAGTCGAAGATAACCGAAGCCTGCTTAGAGTCACTCAGTGCAGATAATTTGTGGGATAAAAAATGATCCGAACGCTATTTGTCAAACGATGTCTCCTAGTCAGAATTCAAAACAGTATCTTATTTAATAATCATATCGTGAAATGGTGTTCAATAAAAATGTCGACATGTACATATTGACTTGTAAAAGTACGCCTTGATTGAAAATATCTGCCTTCGAGTAAATACGCAAAAGTTACTGGTAAATAATTGCAATTAAAATTTCTGAGTATTCGTCCTCTTATAAAAAACAAAAATACAAAAAAGATATGCAAAGATAAACATTATTTTTAAGAAATTTATGAGATGGGAAAACGTTTTTTTGCAAAGCTATAATTTCATATACTGAAACAACCAATTTCCAAATTCCGAAGCCCTTCTTTCTTTCAATCAATCGATTGATTGATTGATTGGTGATTGCTTTACGCCGCACAAAACGGATATATCGCAGCGATCATTCAATCGAAAAGTGGGACTTAAATCTTGAAAAGAATATATTTTTTGGGGGCATTGTTTTATTACAAGTTTAAGCGAAATCCAATCATTTTCTTTTTTTAATTGATAAATCGTTTAATTAAAATTTACTTTTTTATACAATATCCGTAAGAAGACAAGGAAAGAAAACATTGAAAACCCAGTGTTATTTATGCAGGGAAACTCATGACATTTTTTAATGATAACAAAATAAAAAAACAAATATACACAAACAATTGTACAACAATATTTCACCTTTTTCAAACGCATTTAACACAGATAAACACACAATCATCCAATTCAAATACTTCGTGCTTCGCTAAGGAACTCAAGCGTAAATCACTGTAGACCAATATATACGAACCACGCCGTGCAATGGATTATTATGCATCATAGTTAGAAGTGATTGTTTTTTTTTATCTAATCTTATTAATGTTATAAAGATGGATTATGTGCAAACATACAAGGATAGAAACAATGGTACTTTATAGATATTAATTTGCTGCTAGTGGTCAGTATTTATAGCAAATTATAGACATATGTAATCGTAAGTGTAGTTTGTAGTATATAGTATGATTGTATAATTACATAAATTAGATAAGGTTGATAAATAAAGGCAACAGTAGTATACCGCTGTTCGAAACGATAAGTGTTGAACTAATTAATCATTCAGGCTTTAAAGCTAAGATAAAAAATTATTAGAATACAAATAATAAATTGTACATTGATTATATACAGTAAGTATTTTGTGAATAAATACAAAATTATAAGAGTATAATTCGCTCAAACATCGAAAATTAACTTTGATCGTAAAACGATAGTTTTCTTTTTTGCTTGCTATTTGAAGCGTTTGTGAACATTCCTTAAGAATAAGTTTCACAATATTTTGTTATGTCGTGTTTTTCATTTGGTTCTTTAGAAAGACCCATTCTTTCCAGATCAACATGTCCCATGTTAGTAAGACCATATTTCCCATTACAGTCTACTCATATGATTTATTTACAACACCTAAAATAATTGATTCCTCGGATTTTTGTATAATTGTGCTATACTGTTTTTCACAAAATTAATTTATCTTCTCAAAATAATTACCCATGCGTCATGTAAATGTGTACATTTCAGAAAAGATGCACTAGTGGCTCTTGACTATTCTTACAAAAGTTCAATTCCGTTGGAACTTTTAATGGCTATTTTTCAGTATATGCAATATTCTGAAAAATGTTTAACTGTAATTGATAAGCTTTTCTAGTTGCAACATTATTTTGTACAATTTTCCATATATCACACTGAATTATTTCTTTTTGATAATGTATATTTCATGTTAGTTCACACGATGGCTCCGAATCACTGCGTAATGTTGTCTATATATCTTTTAATAAACTATTACGATTTTTAACAGATGTTCCCCTTTTGAAAATGATACATGGTTCCGAAATTGAGATTTATTCCTGTTTTCTAAACTATTATTTTGTTTTAAAATATCAATAAAGTCTTGTAATATGGACGAATTTATTTCAGGTAATTCCGATATCCAGTTTTTTCTATCTAACAAATTTTTGAACACAAAAGCACTATTTATATAACCATTCTCGTATTCCTCCCACAAGTCCCTGATATTTTATATATATATTCTGTAAAGACAGAAAAATATGACCCCCCCCTCCCCCCCTAATACCTAATATTGCATTCCCAACAATCCGTTGATTAAGGTCTTAGTTTTGATAACAACTCTGACCATCCAGAGGCTATATAATTGTAGTATCTTAAGAATTAGCTTTGTTCTAATATTTTTGCATCTGAGCATTGACATTTAAAATGTATTGTATTTCGAGTCAAGGGAAGATAACCAAAATTTCCATTTTGCATTCCAATTATCAATATTGGGATTGATGATCTTATGGAAACACTTAATTTGCTTTAATTTCATAAAATCAATCAAATTTATCATGTTTATACCACACTTTTCTTAAGTCAAACAACAAGTGTTCCAAGCAACTTGATCTAATCAGTATTAATTCAGAATATTCGACAGATTGATGCGACCCCTTTTTTTTAGTGTTAAGCTTTCCAAACTTTTAGCCACGACCAACTTCCCAACAATGTCTATTGGAGGCGTTTGTAACTTGAAAAAGACACAAAAACACTGCATATAAACGCTTGAAAACTAGTGAATGATTTTTTTGTAAATAATTAAAAAAACAAAAAACAAAAAAAACAGTAAACATTCATTAGTTTTAAAACGCGTTTACTATATTTTTTTCGAAATTATATTTTTTCTTTTATACATTTACATAACCATTCTAAAGAAAAGCAAATAATTGTCAGTAGCTTTGTGCAATGTTTCAAAACGCTATATCCCTGCTTTTCATATCTCACACATTAGGAATAAAACCACTAATTAATGGTCCCATTGCTTTCTATGTTAAATTCCATAATTTCAAGCTTTCACAGCTCTTTCGTTTTAAGTTCAAATAAAGTGACACTCATTTCATGCCAAAACAATACTTTCTGGTTACCCTTGCTGGAAAAATCACCAGACCTTTAATTGCATATAAGACCGCACTGGTTTCCGGAAGTTCGGAAGTACAAAAACAGGTACTTCAGATCTGAGAATCAGGCAATAAATGCCCTCCGGTTTCAATTTCATAAAACTTTTTTATTATTTGATATAATCATTCCACAAAGGTTCTACAATGGTCCACAGTCATTCAGCTTCCATTTGATACCAAAATTACCGAGATATTTTACAAATTTTAAAAGTTACAGCTATGCGTAGGAACTATTTTGTTTGAAATATTTACTACTTTCTTGTATGTTCTTTCAGACCGAGCCCGAATTAGTGGTTCTATACCATTAAAAGAACAAGAAGATGTCATTTTGATTATTTGAAACACTTTTGGATTGTTTCTCCTCCTAAAGGAAAGCTCTAACTCTTTGTCGGGGTTCGGCTATCTTACTAGTTCTTTTCGGTTATATGACTCTTAAACTTTTGTATTAGTTTTGATTGTATACATTTTCTGACCTCATTAAAACTGAAGAGTCAGTATTTGCTGAAATGCGCATTTTGTTCAGTCAAGTACCATTCAATGTCATCGTAAATGTTAGGGATCATTATGAAAAAGTTGTCTAGTCAAAATATTTATTTTCAAATATTTCTTTCACTGTTATTCTTGCTCTGTTTTTCAGTAACAAAAAAAGATAAACATTAAAAAAGAAATACCGTTTAAAAATCACTTTTGGCGATAAGTTTCCACGCCAATGTTTGCAAACAATTTCAAAGTCCTTTCGCAGTGTAAAAATATAAACTAAATTTTTTGCATGGCTTAAGCTTATTATTGTTATGTTAATTATTTGTTTGTCTACGTAGTTTCTCACATTTCTATGGCTTGTAAGTTACACTATTACCACTTGTACTTTTACTTGATATAATAAGATAAGGAATGCATTGTTAAATCTGAATGCTTAAGTATATTTGTTTTAAGTATAATTCAATAGGAAAAATAAAGTATTATTCA